ACAATTTTTCTTGTTTAATAAGGGTAGAGGTAGAGGATTAGGGTAGAGGATTAGGGTAGAGGATAGAGATGGAACCTCCTCAGTTGTTACTCAGCAAATGTCAGCTATTTGACCAACATTTTGGAGTAAAGCTGGTAGCTTGAGAAGCTATCTTAATGAGTTTATTAAAATCTGTAATATAAATATTATTACATAAAAAATAGTCGGCCGAAGCGCGGGGAGGCGGAAAAAGACAACTTCCTAGTGTGTAGTGGTAACATACCAGACAAAATCTCGCGAGTCTATTCTCACAGTACAACCATCGCTCTTGGTTAGTTGTAGAGACATTAGTTACTGATAACCTCCATGCGGACTCAGTTGGATCAGCGCTCGACCTACGTTTTCAGATTCCTCTTACTTTGAAAACTTTACGTTCGCACCTTAATCCATCTCCATGGTATCCAGGTTTACATATACAATTGTAAGAATTCTTAGTATTGTTACACACAGCGTCAGCACTGCAGTTGTGTTATTCTTCAACACACTAATCAATATCTGCAGCTGTGTGATCCTTTAGCATACTCATCAAAGTCTGAGAATAATTTTTCCCTATTTCGTATGTCAATGACATGTGTAACAGTTTCCAATTTCATGATCGTGTAAGCCCCTTTCATCGCCAAGATACACCGTGACAAGTCCACCCTGAACTTGTTTACTCATACTTTGAAAATTTTACCTTTGCACGTCAATCCGTCTCCGTGGTATCCAGGTTTACATGTACATCTGTAAGATCCCTTGGTATTGTTACACACAGCGTCAGCACTGCAGTTGTTTGATCCTTGAGAACACTCATCGTTGTCTCTCAGTTGTCGAAAAGTTGTGAAGTCCAAGTGCAACGATGTCTCCTACTCATTTTATTGTTTTTTCCTAAATTAGCATGGAAGCAAAAGGTATCCACATAAAATCAAGATCGTCTCTGTTTTGTTTTGGCTGAAATCACATTTCAGAAAAAAACAATTAGCATAACGCGTGGGTTGCATTCTACTGTACTCTACTTAAGATTCGAACAGTTGAATGAGTGACTCGTCTAAAAGCTCACTAGGGTCCCACTGCCGAACATTACTTACTGACGTATATACTGACGTATATGTTTCATATGTTTTTTGTTGTTCGATTACTTACTGACTTACTTAATTACAACTGAGTTCAACCTTTTCAAGACTTTCCGGCCGAAAATTTTAAGAGTTTGCTTACACGAATAAATGAGCCAAAGCAAACAAATTGTATCTTGGATCTAATCTCATCCTTCTTTCGTGCGCAAGAATTTTGATCCGGCGACAGGGACGTATGACGAACATCGAATATGGTATCATTGCCATTTCTTTTTCCAAACTTGATTGGCCTCCCACAAGTACAACGTCTTAGATTGAATTTCTCATAAGTTATCTTCGAGAAAAATCCGGCAAAGATAATTCTTACTTTATTTACAATATCTGTTTGTTTTTTAATGGTATGAAATCAGTTTCAGTTCATTGATTTATTCAGGTTAGTATTTTCTTTGTTAATCTGGCTATTTTTGGCTGATTTTGAAAATCTGACGACCATGCTTGAGTACGTTCTTGTGATAAGTTACATAGCCGTGGGCATATGTAAGGTTGGTAATTTGGTTTTATCGATTGAGTTGATAATGTAAATTGACGACTTGTTTGTAAGTCTGACCTTTCGAGCGTTAACTCTTCTTCAGAGCGAATAGCTCTAGAGGAACATTTCTCGAGAGGAAATTAACATTTTTTTTTAGAAAAAATTCTCTTTGAACCAAAAATCTACAAACTAGCACACTTGTGGTTTCTGGTTGGTTCAGAGTTGTCGGTTAACGTGAATTAGGTCACGCTGTTTGATAAATGATATCACGCCTTGTATTTAGTAGAAAGGCTAGTTTAAGGTTGCGGCCTCATTTGTGCTTCGAAAAAACTACTGAGACAAGAGCTTAGGTTAGCTTTCCTCAAAAGTTTTCTAATCAACAATATTGGTGTTTAAAGTAATGGCAAATAAACAAACGATTGGTAATCCATATATTGACGGTTCACTTTTCCTTAAACTTTGTACATCATAGCAAACTACATTTTTCTGATCTATAGTAGCTCCATGGCTTAATTGTTGATTGCGTCCCTCTTCACTGCACCAGGATGTATCCCATGGTTCTAATGTGTTTTTCTCCATTATCAGGCGAGTACATTGCTTCATTTCCGCACGTGTTGCGTCCTTCTGTACCAAAACCGATTCTGGAGTTGCA